CGAACGGCCCCAGGCTTTCGCCCGTGCACGCTAAGTGACTTTCATTACAAGCATTTAGCTTTCCGAAGTCTATGACAACAATTGTTTGGCATTAACGGCCGCGAATTTCGCGCCAATAAGCTGCCTCGACTTGTTCGATTATGTTAACTCAATTTCATATTTATTTTCACATTTTCACTTCGCGGTCCTTCTGTGTTCTTTTTCCGTTATTTACACGTGTAGATCATTTCGTTGTTATCCACATTTGATATCATCATTTATCACATACTGCCGTGATGCTCTTGTCTGTCCGCTACAACTGCCAAGAATTAACGCGATTGGCGAAGCTAGTGACAGCGGGCCAATAGAGAGCAGGATCCTTGCTATAATGCAGTTTGCACGCTAATTTTCGTACGTGCGTTAATCAAGCCGAATAGTTTGGCCGAATATTCGGCTATTCGGCCACGCTCTTGGCCGAATATACTATTCGTTACAACACTAGTGTATATCTAAAATTCGTCTAAAATTCATATTCAAATTTGTCTGAAAATATCAACTTAATGTTGCCAGATATTTTATACGATTATTTTATTTAAAAATATGATGTAAAATTATAAATTTATATATATATAAAACAAATTTAAATGTATCAATATTATTCAAAAAATTTCACAAAATATATAAAAAAATGCATTTAATTTATTACTTCAAGTTCATATCATACAGAGGGCGCGAGTTGTGAAAAACGTGTGTTTACTTCGAGGTGTGTACCGTGTGTTGCAGAAGGTATATTATTGCTATTTTTTCGTGTATTTTCTCCAATTATTATTTTCGTTTACTTCATCCGGATCACTTTTAATTATCATAATAATATTTTAGTTGCTCTAAAACAGTACTGAAAATACGTTCGTGTAATACTTACTTAGAATAATCTATCGATTATCTTCTTATATAAGAAACCTAAATGTAATTTGCTTACGACTGCAAATTTACGTTTAATTTAAAAATATATTTCTCTTTTATTACGGCAGATGGCATAACCAGTTTACTCAAGTGTTATCGTGAAACAAGCGAATGAACACGCGTGGCGAAATTGACACATTTCAAATTTAAAATTGTAATGCTTAAAATAAGTTTTCGTAAAAAATGTAACGTATTTTGTTTAAAATGCGACTTTATTCCCGTTTTATATTATTCTATAATTATTCACTAATGTTTACAATGTTTTTTTAATAAAGTGTAAAAGGTATTAATTAAATATGGCTCAATTCAAACTTTGAATGATATGTTTGGGACCTTAACAGGAGCTGTAGAGCATACCCATAGCAAAAAAAAAAGGAAACATGCCTGTAGGTGTAAAAAAAGTCAAAGGAACTGATGGTCTACATGTGATCGTTTACTAGATATTAGCCCTTTGAAATCAGCCTATCTGGAATTTTGAAGATCCTCAAAAATGGGTAAAAATCTAAAAGTGAAAAAAATATGGAACTATTTCTCAAAGCAATACTAAAAATCAATTGTTTTCCACTTTACTAGAGATGGCTAAAAGCTCATAAAACATGAGAAACACCATTGCACCGACTACTACTGGGATGTGATTGGGGTTGTATTGTGCATTCTGTTAAGTCTATTGTGTGTTTAGCAACTGGATAGGATGATTTTGAGAGATCTTGCAAAGAATCACATCAGTTCCTTTGATATTTTTTACTTCTATGGGCATGGTATACAGCTCTGATAATATCCCAATTGCATCATTCAGAGCTGAATTTGTACCAAATTTGATTGCTTATGGTGGTAGTATGTATAAATCTAAATATGTTAATGATATACACAATCCTTAAAAATTCACTTGAATTCAGATTCTAATAAATTAGGTAAATTCTGTTTTGTTAATTTTTTGGGAACATTTATTATGTTAAGCAAATAAATACTAAGTTTATGCAGGTGAGCAAAAAGAGATCAAAATCTTCAGAACGATTTAAATAAGATTATGTATTCATCCAGGTAACTAGACATAATCATCATGCCATTTATGTAAGCAATGTGAATTACACCATAGGAACATATCTGGAGAATTGTATTTGTAATGTTAGCAACAGGGGTGCCTGTATGTTGAAACACTTGGATTACATGCCCTCCTTTTTTGTCTTGGTTTCCCTTTTTCTAACCCCCAAGGGGTTATTCCATTATCAACAAACAACAGAAAATTTGTGCCTTCTAGTCTGCACAATTTTTTATTTGTATAATATTTTCTTATGCAATTTTTTTATTTTATTGACCAAAAGCACATTCTTTGTTTTTGAGGCCAAGTTAGCCTGAGTGCAACCAGAGACAGCTTGTGGAAGCACTGATCTGAAATCAAATAGAGTTTGAAGCTTCTTGCATAATGTTCTATACTCTTTTTATATTATAGCTTGTTCCCCCATTTTTATAGTGTGCAGGCACTGCTGGTTAGCAGTAAAAAGTGGACACTCGCTGAACTACTTTTTGTTCCAATGTTTTGAATACAATTTAATTTCAAATCACTGTCAGCATGTAACACTGTCCAACCAAACCAATAGACTTTTCATAGAGGAAAGGGTTATTGGTATTGCTTTCCTCCTTCCTGGGAATTCGTATGTCTCTATCCAAGAAGATTTAGAAATTAGAAATGTTGAAATAACAGGGTATAAAAGAGAAATCTTTATGGAGACTAAAGCTGTAATTATAGCAACTGCTCTGTTTTTGGAGTAGACCACTTCCCCTTTCTATGGCCCTAGTAATGCAAGACATTGTAGGCAATATTGAAACCGTTTTTATGTTACTAAACTCTCTAATTGTGATAATGCATTTGAAAGTTTGAGATTTGTTACTTGAAATCTTTTCAGTATTTAAAATAGTAGTAAATCATAGTTGGAAATTTAATATTAAATTGATACACATTTTTCAAAGGAATAATAATTAAAAAAATTACCCTTATTCATGAAAAACTGAGTTTTAATATAAGTCATGTTATTACTGTTTACATAAATATTTTTTCCAGTTCTTCAGAAAGCAACATTAAAATATACTAAGTAACCATATGTGATGACTGGATGAGTGAGGCAGTTAAGGCATCAGCTTACCACTCTGGAGGACCCAGAATCAAGTTTGGGCAAGAAACACTCCAGAAATTTTTCATGGGTGGTCAGTCTCATGTGTATTGGATCCATTCTCTCACCATTCAGTCATCTCCGTTTTGATCTGATCAAATCCATGATGGATATGGAAAGATCTAATGGACAGAAAGTTTAAAAAAATAAAAGAAAATTATCTATGATTTGAAACTAATCAAGTTCAAAATAAAACTGCTCTTACTATAAGACTTTAATGAATTTTATTAATATTAAATTTTTTCATGATGATTATTAATCAAAATTCTTACCATAAGGAATGTGTTAAATATGAAGACGTCCACAAGAAATAGAAAGTTCAATGCATCAAAAATTCATCAAGAAAGAGTTAATACTATAAGGTAATTCAACAAACAAATGATGCATAATTTTATTAAGTATATCAGAAAGTTTTAAATTCTTAAAACCTTTTTATTTAGATCAGAAAATGAAAGTTCAAAGAAGAAAACACTGTCTTACCATGTTCAAAAAGAGATAGTCGTACTTTTATTTGCAAGGTTGTGCTCTGTACTTTGGAACAATATATCAGACTGTGATGAAACCTTTAATTACTGGGAACCAGTGAGTTATTTTTTTTTTATTAAAGTACAATATTTAAGTCAATCAAAAAGTTTTAAAAATATTAATATAATTCCACATTTTTTAAAGTGTAAATTTAAATAGTAAGCAATTTTATGGTATATTTTCTGTAATATTTTAATAATATATCATCTTAAATATTTAAAAATAATTGTGTTTAAAAAAGAGAATTTTGTGATCATTAAATCTATATGATGCAAAAAACATTGACTAGAAGAATATTTTTATGTTAAAAATTTTAACTTCTTAAACTGCAAAAATCTTACAATTCAGCAGGAACTTTTGAAGATGAACATTTTCAATTGTCTCAAATCATTTATTCTCCAGTAGTTCTTGCTGGATTGAAAGGTTTTTGAGGTGTAAGTTAGATTTAGCCAGTGAAGGAAATTACTAGATTTTAATTACAGGGGTTTCCAAAAAGAATGCTACCATTTTAAATTATTGTGTATATGTAAAGTATTATCTGAGAACATTGTAATGTACATTAATACATTAGAAAATTGTCCAAGTTTCACATTTGCCTATTACAGTTTCTCAATGTGGCACATATCCAACTGATACTCATATTCTTTCTGCACTCACTACAGCATATTCTTTGTCATCCTTCCCTAGCAGCCATAATACAGTTTCTGCAGCTCTTCCAGATTACTCATATTCCACAATGATGAGTGATTCTAACATTCAAACTGCAGAACACAAAATGCCTTCTCTATTGTGGAGTCACCATTTTGGTTTATGGCATATGCTAGAGATAGTAAATATCAAGACATTTGAATACAGATGGGAGATGAAACGTGGATGGTTACTCTATCGATTGATATACATTGTGTACTTCTCAGATAATCACATAATTATAGTATTTAATTTGTTATGAAGGAAGGATCTCAAGAGAAAGAAGAAAAGATATTTTTCTGCAAAAGAGCCCATTGGTTTTCCTAATTACAGTAATTTAAAATGGTAGCATTCTCAACGTAATTAATTACATTCAGAGGATCTGTTATTCTTGCTGCATCTTCTCAGCAGATTGATTTTACTATAATTTATTTTTATTTATTATAACTATAATTGAATACTGTTAATACTCCAAATCAGTTTAATAAATATGCAAATGTGTTCTTTACAAAACTTTTGATTATTGTATGCTTAATGGAATTAGTAAGTAATATACAATGTGCTGTGGTGAGATTTGATCAGTTTGTATACAGCAGACTTCATCAATTGTATTGCACTGGTACATTCTGTGCATAGAAATTTCAAACAAAAAGGATATTGTTCAGCAAAAGAAAAGGTGATAAATATTCAGTGTAATTTGTCTTTAGTCACAAGACTAATGCCTAAAGGAATAGCTGTGTTACCATCTAAAGTAAAGCTAATTTGTTTGTGGAATTAATAAAAGAAATGTTAAAAAACAAAAAGCCTTTAAAAAATATTTTATTAATGCTTTTGATACAAAAAAAAAAGAGATACAAGATACTATAAGACTATTGTATATTTTTTTGTTTATTTAAAACTGTAAAAAAAAAAAAAAAAAAAAGAAGTGTGAGGAAGAGCCCAAAAGGGGCTTCGAAAACATTCGCAAATATCGATCTTTCGCAGTCTGGTTAATTAGTTATTGTGAGTCGTTTCCTTTTATATATTCATCTCGGTGTGGTACAGTTATGCATTTATTTCATTTTGGGTATATCCAATTAATCCTCTTATAAAACATCTTTAGTAGTATAAATACAGAATAATAATATTTTTACCTGTTCTAGACTCACTACATGCTGTATGGACATGGTTTTCAAACTTGGGAATACTCACCAGCCTATGCTATCAGATCTTATGCTTATATTTGGATACATGCACTCCCTGGATATATATTAAGTCAATTTTTGCATCAGAAGGTAATATGTTTTGATCTCTTTTCTATTCTTGTGTTTAGAATAGTTGTATTTTGTAAAAGTAGTTGTATTTTTTTTCCAGATTTTGGTCTTCTATCTGATTCGATCTGTTCTAGGCACAATATGTGTTTTTTCCGAAGTATATTTTTACAAGTATGTTTAATTTTTATTTTTATTACTCTTATTAGTATAAAAATTATTGAGTATTAATCATCTTTCAGAGGTATCTGTTATCAGTTTGGATACAAGGTTGGCACCTTGACATTAATTTTTCTAACATTTGCAACGGGGACATTTATATCCAGCACAGCCTATTTACCCAGCAGTTTCTCCATGTACATGATAATGATATCTTTTGCAGGATTATTTTTACATCACTATAAAGTAATAAAATGATTGTCAATAAAGTATTAACATGAATGTGCAGAATGCTAGTATTTTTCATCTATTGCATTTTTCTAGGTAGCAATCATTTCGACGGCCCTCAGCACTCTTGTTGGTTGGCCTTTTGCTGCAGTGTTAGGGTGAGCATACGAATTCATGTAAAATTTATTGATGTGCATTTATGTTTTAAATAAATAAACTTAACTATTTTCAGTTTACCCATTGCTTATGACATTGTAATATTGAAAAGAAAATGGTATTTTTTTATAAAGTGGTGTGTAATATCTTTGGTCATTATCTTAGTAAGTTATTTATATTTATAAAATAGAATTTTTTAAATAAGGTTAATTTAATCTATTAAACCTGCATTTAGATTCCTATTGTTTTTATTGATTCATACTATTATGGTCGTCTGGTAATTGCACCACTGAATATCATGCTGTATAATGTATTCAGCAAAAATGGTTCTCAGTTATATGGTAAGTATTTATGTCACTAGTAATTTTTATATCTTTATTTGTAAGTATCTGTAATGGGACTTTTAATTTGATTTTATTAATTTCGAAAGCTAAACAATGCTTAATCTATATATCATAAAATAGTTTTACTACAGTAACTTCATCTTCTTCTTAAAGCTTGAAATAATAATTGCCCTAGAATTGTAGCCAGGTCTACAATTCAAGGATTTATGAAAACTTAAGGAAACAATGTAAAATTAATAAATGCTATAAACTACTATAAGTACCATATTTGTTTGTACTTGAATTTCCTGTTCCAGTTTCATATATATAATCAGCTGTTTTTAGTTTTGTCAGTAAAAATATCATACATTACAAACATTTTTGCCTGTTATACGTTTGATCTTCTCAGGCATCAGCAGAAAAAGAACAAAAAACTTTTAGAAAGCAAGCTTCAGAAAAATACAAAATTCAAGCATTCAAAATATGTTCTAGAACTATGCAATTCAAACAGAATACAATTTAAATCTAGTAAATATTAAAAATGAAAATTATACACAAAGGGATAGGTGACTACCACAAATCAGAGAATGTTTCCCCATGTGTAAGATATTGATTCTGCCTCCTGTGCATTGATACATCCTCTGGACAATTTATATATTTCTAGTCTAACCTAACCTAACTTGTCAGGATGACACCATTGTGTCCCTTTGACACAAAAACTGTAACAGCAAGGCCATGTGTGTGCAAGTGGTCAGATTTGGGATAGAGGAGTGTGTGAGAGCGTTTGAAGCAAGACACACAATTATTAGGTTAATAAAACAAACACACAATTATTTTTCGATATTTGACTCTCTCATGCGAACACTTCAATGTCATTCTAGAGAGTTTATATGAAATTGTATGTTATAAATATCTGACAAAGTTCTTTTTATTGATATTTCCAATGGGGCAATTGATCCATTGACAGTCCGGTACTATGGGGACATTATGAAGAAGGAAGGCATTGAGATCTTTAGTTATGGAGGATATTCCTCTATTGGAGGAGGTGATGATCAGACTATATCAGGTGGCAACTTTAACTATTGACGGACTGGCAATGACTTCTTGTGTTGTGAAAAAATTGGTGACGACTTTTACTCTTGGAGGAACTGGCAATGACTGACTGAATTGGCGCTATTTGTCATATTAAACTTTGAAATCGGGACAGCAGGTCAGAAGGTCACAGAAAAGCGTCTTTTTCAACACTGAGAACTTAAAGGAAGATATACTCCCAGGTGTGAAAGTTGACAGATATTCAAGATCATCACTTCTTAATAATAAGTCCAGTTTATCACACATCTCTATCCTCAAGATTAAGCTTTTCCCTTTTTATTACAATTAATAGATACAAATTAAGATTTTTTCTTAAATAAACAGCTGGGAAAGTTAGCAATCCAACTTCTCATTGCTGGATTTTATATAAGTAATTAGTTCTTTGAGTGGAAAGAGGTCAAGAGAAGTCTAGATTATCTTGACTATTCCAAATTGTAAGGCTCAAAGTTGTGTGTGGTTTTTTATTGATATTATATAGTGTCCAAGAATCATACCATAATTTCTTGTTATTGTGTGTTTGTTGTAAAAAATAAATTAATTTTCTCCGATTTTTCAGAAGTTATGGAGGAAAGGAAAAGCAGCAGAGTTGAAACCATTAAGTTTAGACAGATCTAGCAATTTAGAATAAATTGTCAGATCCTTTAAATAAATATTATTTATATACAGTTGTCCCTTGATAATCCGACAGGTATGGGACCAAAGGTGTGTCAGATTACCAAAAGTGTCCGGATTACCGAAAATAATTACATATTTCGCATTGTTTTGCTAGCAGTAGCCTACAATATTCTCTACTCCAACTGTTCGAACAGAACTGCTCACATAAAACACACGAAATGTGTGTCATCGAGTAAGAATTGGATGGGGAGATTCACATCACAACATGCTTCTGTGCAAGCAGACAAGTAACAGGGACGGGTACCTTGACGGGAAGTGCGTCGGACTACTGAGCATGTCGGATTAAAAAACGTCAGACTATAGAGGGACAATTGTACTTATATTTTAAATTTTGGGCAGTATTGACAATATTCAACTCTACAGGGGGAAACACTTGGAGAAAGGATGGCAAAAGTGTTTAAAATTTTTCTTTTTCTTCCTTGTAAAAAAGTTGTGATGCTTTTGGAATTTGAAGTACAGTTTTTATTTCTAATTTGCAAACTTTATTATTAAGTGGAATGAATGTGCAATTGTAAAAATGATCTTAGAGATAGTAGAAAATTATATTTTAAAATATTTATTTGCAAATAAAATTTTTAAAATGAATAGAATAGAATAATAATATTGTTGTTATAAACAATATTATTAAGTTATAAACAAAGTTTTAAGCAAGTTAGCAAATTTATATTTTCAGGTGTAGAACCATGGACATATTATTTCTTCAATGGTTTCTTGAATTTTAACATTGTTTTCATTATGGCATTTACTTCTTCATTAACCTTGGTAAGTGTAAATGATTATGTTCTTGATTTACATCATTAAAAAGTAATGAAATATAGTTATATTCACAAAAACAACATGTATTTAATTTGTGAGGAGTAGACTTTAGTGGTGCTTGACCAACTTGTTTCAAATATTATTCCTAGAGACATCTACCATAAATAATTGGGTTATAATTTGGAAAGAATGATTTTGAATTACAAATGAATTTGACACTAGAGAAAAGTGTTAGGTGCCATCTCTTATTAAAATTAATAATTATAATATTTAAATAATTTAGATTAAACAGGAAGAAAAGAATCGGTCCAAAACGGGACTCAAACCTGCAACTTTCACTTACTGTGTGAATGCGTTACCAGTTATGCTACACTTCAAAATCATTCTTTCCAAATTATAGTCTGATTAGTTATGGCAGTTGTGGATGTCTATTTGCTATTCATCGGGTTTCAGTTCGTGTTTATAATTGTTCCTAGAGTTTAACATTTATATACTGTAAAGTATTTCTTGCAATGTACATGTACAGCAGGGCAGTAGCAAACATAGCCACATCTCACAGCATTACCAAGTCTACGCTTCACAGGTATTTTCATTCCATTGCACGATATAATTACAATTATAGCAAGTGGCTTTTAACAGGTTTTCTACCAATTTATGTTTCATCCATCTTGGACCCACAAACCAAACTTTATCAAACTTTTAGAAAGCATGAGTGCTATGTATATTTGGATTATCATCTTTTTCTTACAGCCTCATAAGGTAAAACATTTAACTAATTTACTAGGAATACATGTAATGTAATTACAAAAATTTTTATTATTAATAGGAGGAGAGATTTTTATTTCCAATATATCCCTTTTTTTGTCTATTTGGAGCACTTACTACTGATTTATTTCAGGTAATGTTTTAAAAATTAAGTATATAAATGTATACTTATAATTAATATTGAGACACCTGCATTTTGACAAAGATTTTAGCATGCAATACAGATTGTTTATCTATATGATATTACCAGGTTTTTCCAAAAACTTTTGTAGGTCAAATGATACTAAAACACTCAGATTATCTATAAAGTTCTGGTCTGTCCAGTTTTTCAATGCAAATGTCCATAACTGCATGACTAGTATGACAGAAGAATATACACCTTTCTCAATCAACAGCACAATACACTAAGTATTCATTTGGGCAGGCCTATTGGGCCATACTTTTTGTGGATGACTCTAAAGGATGCAAAGAAAATTTGGTTGAAAATAAATGTTTATTTTGTTTTCATTTCTATGATGATGATAATTTTTTTTAATGTAAAAGTTAAGCAAGATGTTTCAGCATGTAATTCTTATTTTTTACAGAAGACACTCAACATTGCATTCCAAAGGTATCACTTACCATTTGCCAAATTGTTGACTTCTACAATCTGCATGACATTTGTTACAATATCGCTGTTACGTACCGTTGCCATTTACAAAGGTAACATGCTTAATTTGCGGTTTAAAGTAAAATATTTGATGAAATTTTGATGTGGCACATTTTGAAACTTAGGTTATTCAGCTCCGATTCGGATTTATTCTAGCCTGGCAAATACGGCGGAAAATCGTCCAATGCCATTGATGGATGAAATAAACGTCTGCACTGGTAAAGAGTGGCACCGTTTTCCTTCACATTTTTTCCTTCCCTCAAAGTAAGTGTTTCTCCCTTTTTACCAAAGAAATGTTAATTTGTTTAAGTTAATAAACTTATTAAAGCTGGATTTTGTCAAGGACAAAAACAATTGCTAGCATTGACAGCTAGAAAAAAAAATCTTGGTGTTGGGCTGCATCAGTTGCATGTGGACATATTCATACTAACCAAAGATTTACTTTTATTGCTTTGATTCATAGAGTTCCTCTGCCTGCTTCTTGCCTGTGTTTGTGAGCTTTTTGCTGAGGTCTACTTTTGTGTTTCTTGGGCTCTATTGAGTGTTTTTTTTTCCTGATGTTTGTCAATTTAGTTAGTATTTGTGTTACTGCTTAGATTTTGAGTAAGTTTTTCATTCTCAATAGGCTAGATTTTTCATCTGTTAGGCTTAGCTAGCTCAGTTTGTTTTGACGTTCGCAGGCAGAAACAGTTTAAATTTGATTTAATCAAAGAAACTAATTTTACTCCATTTTAACTTCCACTCAATTACCTTCTTGTTTTTTGTTGGTTTATTTTGTAAATTTTCAGTTAGTTAGTCTAAGTTAAATAGTTCTCTTTTTGTAGTTAATTAGGTCTTTGGTGTTTAGTTTCCCCTATAATTTTGGTTTTTCTCAGTCAACTAGTTTTTGAGTTTTACTACATTGCAGTATTTAGTTAGTGTTTTGACTTTTTCCTGGTTTCTGTTTTTTTTTTGTAGTTAGTTTTCCCTTTGTAATTCATTCCCTTATTAGGTGCTTTGTTTCCCGTTAATTTCGTCTTTCTAGGCCACCCCATTTCCGTGTTTTTCAGTTATACTGTTTTGCAGTATTTTGGTTTTCAGTTCTGTTCTTTTCCTTGGTTTAAGTTATTAGTTTTAAGGTAGTTTAAATAATATAAGGTTCTTTCTAGATGGCGTGTCCATCTAGTTCTGGAAACACTGGGGCCAAGAGCCCATACTCGGATGTCTCATCCGTCTGCAAAAAACTTAGGGAACTCCTGGACATTGTTCTAGTTAACTGTCCAGAAGAATGCAGCTCTGCTGTATGCAAAGAACACAGAATCAAAATTTGTGAATCTGCTAACGATCTGTTTAGTTTTAGCAGACTCTTGTCTGCTAAAACAAGACTATCTGTACATTGGCTTACCGTCGCAATAATGATGTTGACATTTTGAACAGTTTAATCAGTGAAATGGTTTCCAAATCTTTAGCAGATAGTGTTAATCACATTCAACAAGAGGTTTCCGGGAAGGTCGGATCATTAATAGATAGTAAAGTAAATAAAATCTTGGACACTGCACAAACACTATTCCTACAAGTTTACCAATCTCCTCTTACACTGGTGGTGTTGCTAGGGCTAACACAACAAACACGAAAATTATACAAAAAACCCGTACAAAAACAATGTATCGTGAGTACCAGCACTGGAATGAAATAACTGGTCTTGCAACACACACCATCTCATTCACACACGTACAATGTTCCATCATCTACTTACATTCATATCCCCCAGGGAGAGTGCTCCCAAAAGCACTCTCCCTGAAACTGCACACATATGGCAAATTAGCATTACCTTGCTTTGTTTCAACTTTGTATTTTAATTCTTATTTTCTGTCTTCTTTTCAGTCTAAATTCAGTTAATTTAAGTTAGTCCTAGTTGTAAGTTAGATTAGGGATGCTTATCTTGATTTCTGGTTAGGTTACTTTAGTAAGTTAATGTTTAAAAAAAATAAATGGATAAATAAGACACATGCAAAAGCCCAATTTTTTTTTATTTGTCTCATCAAGTTTGTTTTTTCATGCTGTCTGTCTAGCTGTTTGAACGTGAGTGCAAATCTTAATTACTACTACAGTAAAGAATCGATTATCCGACTCGACTGGGGTTGGTCGGATAACTGAAAAAACAGATAACCGAAAAGTATGAAAAAATACATTATTAATAGACTATAGTATATTAGTATATCACTATTAACCTACTTCGCGTTGAATTTTCATCAATGTTAAGCCTAACAAAAATTTTTTTTAAATAATAATTGTCACTATTGTATTGTTAAAAATTTTAAAATTATTTTATTGCTCACAAAACAAACAACCACTCGTAATTACAAAATTAAGCCTCGTTTAAATACTGGCCTCCCTTTCATGGTCGAGCCAGTGTTGCCAGCTAAAACACGCAAAAATTTAACAAAAATAATATTAAAGTAGCCAATACATAGCCAAATATTTAGCACCACGTCACTAGCGGACGGTTGATTGGGAGTCGGATAATCAATGCTCTACTGTAGTTTCATTAGCATTAAGTAGTTATAAGTCTTTCTACTAAAAGCCACTTGACACTAACTTCTACACACAGCTATTTGTGGCAGCACTGAATCATTGGTGTTTGCTACACTCAGGTTTTCTTTTACACCCTTCAGGGGACTATGGGCTTACAGCATAAAAACTGCACACTAACATCAAACTTAGAGGGTACTGTAGCCATATGTACACCGTTCAGAGGGATCCTTTCCCTTACCCTCTTTTCTGCCAAGAAAGACTTCTTGTATGTATGTATGTATGCTTTGATTCATAAAATCCTACAAAGTGTGTGTGTTGGATGTTAAATATGGCAAGAACTGTATTACCCGACTTGTACATCAATGAAATGCTGTCTGCCCTTAAGTTTTGGACATGTATAATACTTTTTTGAGAAACCGGTATAAATTTACTGTATCATTATGTTACCATAACAACATTTAAATACTTTATCCAATTTTTTTGTTTGTGCATGTCAATCAATAACATACAATTCTAGTGTATTCATTTTCATTAAATAGATTTTGGTATTTAGCATTGACAAGTTGATAAATCTTTATCATTTTGTCCTTTTGAAGTGAAAAATTAGACAAATTTTATTAAATTTTTCCTATTTAGTTGGAGGTTGCAGTTTCTTCAGTCAGACTTTCGTGGACAATTACCAAAGCTGTATAGTAACGAGACGGCAGCAACACGCATCATTCCAAAAGACATGAATGATGAAAATCGCGAAGAGACTTCCAGATACGTGCGTATCAGGATTTATGTTAATTTGTAAACTAAATATTTGAGTAATCTTATTGTAATTAAAATTCAAATCTAGTTTGACATCAAAAGGTGTCGCTATCTTATCGATGCTGACTTTCCCCGAAGTTCCATCCTCGAACCCAGATACTCGCAAGATGCAGGAAAATGGAAAGTGAAATTTTCTGAATCTTTTTTAGATGCAGAAAGGTAATAATAATAAATTTAAACAAACATTAATGTAATTAATGGTTTGTGTCTAATTTAATACATTAATTTTTTCAGGTCGCCAAAGTTGTCTAGAGCTTTTTATATTCCATTTATTACTGAAGACAATTGTAAATATGTAAATTATAATTTGTTAGAAAAAACTGTGTAGAAAAAATAAAACAATTTATATTTTAAATAAATTTTCTTTTCTCTGAGAAAAAGTCCAAAGCAAAGATTACAAAATAATAATGTTTAATTGCATAGCAATTCTAATTCTAATGCTATAATTGTCATGTTGTTACACTAATCTACTTAAAATTAGAAAAATAAGCTGTTTCACGTATTTTGTTTGTGTATTGACAGTTTTATTATACATTTTGATCACTATCAATTTTAGTATTGATGTCAATAAGAAGAGCTAGATTATTAAGGCATTCCTGCCCCATGGATGCTTGTAAATACAAGACAATTGCTTTTAACTTATAAAAGTGACATTTTTAAATCCTGCTAACAATTTCCACTTTAGTAAGACCACAAATGAAAATAACTCCAAAATGGTTGCTAGAACAGTCAGTTTCTTATGAATAGTTACTGAAATTGCAGATTTACATACATACAGTACATATTTCTTCTTTCAATTTCTGACAAATTTGAAAAGCAGCAGGATGGTGGCTTCAGGAATTGTTGCAGGCCCACAAGGTGCACCATTATATGTGGAGCTACTTTGTTAAAATTAGTCTTCAGTATTATTATGTTTATCCAAATTAATGTTTGACACTATGGGACATCTGCAATGTTGAATTGTGATGTGGTTGTAGAGGACATTGACATAACTCTAATACAGGAGCACTGGGTGTTCAGGGGTCAAGTTAGATAATAAAGTGACACATGTCTGACAAGGATCTGAGAACTTGAATACTATACTTGTATTTTTTTCAGTAAATTTCCCAACCCAGATCTGGGTGCAGATGAATGATGCTAACAAGGGGAACCCAGGAGGTTGTCATCATTGATTTTGACAAAATTTTGTGGAGGTGTAGTATTGATTTGTACTTAAACTATGCCAAAGCCACAGGACTCACTATTTGGGTATTTGCAAGAAAATCACAATTAAAGTTTTTCTAGAATTATTAATACCTATGCAGAAGTGCCATCCATGCATTCATGGCATTTGATATACGGGATTTGAACCCACATATCACTCTTCACACAACACCTTAAAACTAATCACACCATGCCATGAGAACATCCTCACAGGACAGATGATTTCATGGAAATTCCAAGGGAGATCATTACAAAGCATAGTCAATCTAGCAAACAACAGGACAGACACCATGCTCAAGTGCAGCAATGAACTTCTCCAATGTCTGTTAACAGAGGGACATTAGAGTAATATTCTGAATCCAAGGCTTTTAAACCTAAGACTTTTTGCCAGGCTTGGGGTTAAATAATATCACATTAACCAGCAGCCAAACCAAAGAAACATAGCTAAATGCTAGACAGACACAATAAAGTGACAAAGAATAGAAGCCAAAATGTCAACTCCAAAATGCAATGAACCAGAATATCATTGGGTGATCTTAATGGTTCTGTTGTACACCCATGGATGCACAGACAATATTTTTCTGTTTTGGTTTGAGAAACTACCTAGCATACTTCAAAAGGGATCTGCCTTGTATGCAGGCTTGATCATCATCCTGACAAAACTTATTTTTCTCTTTATTCACAGAAGTGCCTTTCTGAGCCCCTTTTCTGTGATTTGACTTGACCAAATGGGGGTACTGTTTGACTCTCATCTTTTATGAATTTGTACCTGAAGATGATGCTAGACAAAGTCAAACATACCAATATATTGCCATAGTAACTTGATCCAGTCCGGCACCAGGTTACTTCTCTGGAAAAACTAGCATTTTCAATCTCCTAAGTACTTTGTCGGATATCATACTGATTCGAAATGGAACAGTCCAAAGAACAAGATGTAATTCAAATTTGAAAGTACCAATCAAGCATCTGCATGCATCTGATTGGTACTTTAAAGGAACTCAAATTTAAAAGTAATTTAAAGTAAATGCTTTTTATGTAAACATAATAGGGACAGCCAAAAAGTCTCTTGATGTCAAGTGAAAATATTCCCTGAAAGATGCAAGTCCTCAGACTAGAAGCCTCAGTATATAAGCTTTGTAAATATTAAATTTGAAAAGGACAAGAAACAAATTTTTATCAAAGTGTTTAATTTGAACATATTAAACTTATCTTCAGTAATATTTAAATGGTTGTAATATTTACAGTGTAAGATAGATAGATAAATCAAATTGCTGGTTTTATTTCAGGAAGCCAACAGATACTATTCTCTATGAAATACTATAGCCAGTATTTTATACACAACTTGAAACAGTCAACTGATATATTTTAGATCAATGAAGAACAGCCTTTTCTGGATGCATGCACAAAGGAATTTCATAGTTTTCTGGTGAACTGCATATTTTTTTTTCTTATGGTGTTGCAGGCTTTAAGCCTGCTAGGTACCAACATACTCCAAACTACCAGCATATTAGTTACTAAAATTATTTTGCATAGCATTAGCATATTTTAATATATAATTTATTTTCATATTTTTACTGGTCAACTTTACTTTGAATGTCAGAAATATTGGCTTAATTAGGGTTGCATATTAGGACTTTGTGGACCATGTGCTGCTAATGACTGGCTCATATTAATTCTAATCTTAACAGAAAGCATATTGAAATCTAGTTTTGTAGTTAATGTGTTCAATACTGTCCTTGATGGATAATCAAACAGCCTGATTATCAAAAAAATCACTGAGAATTTGTATTTTTCATGGAAGTATTACAGATCCAGAAACTTTTTTTTCTATACTCCTATGCCAATTTTCCATTAGTGAGCTCACCCAAGTTAATACATATCTCAATCTGTGCTGCAGCAAACTTAACTGAATTCTCATGTACATTTAATACAAACTGTAGCATTATAGTCATTCAAATTTAATCACTTAGAATAGGTCGTTAGATTTCAAGAAGCTATCAGAATTCCTGTAGAAAAGATCCTGTATTTCTGTAGCAATCCAAATTTTAAAATTAGAGATGCACTAATAATCAAATGATGAGGGCTTCATTATTGGACTAATGTATATGACCTGATAAATGCTTTACCAATTGATTAATAGATAATTTGGACTTGGTTTACTATATGATTAGTAACACACATCATTGAGGTTATAATGTTGAATTTTACATAAAAAAAATCACAAAACCTGATAAATTTGTAAAGACAAACAACTTCTGGATTACATAGGGCTACTTTTCTGCAATTATATTTAATTAATTACTAAATAATTTGTCATTAAAGGGAGGTATTAGGTGCCATCTCTTATTAAATTTAATAAGCCTGATGCAATCCGGTGGTTGGCTTTATGTTGAATTTTGTCTCCATTTTGCAATTATCTGAATTTGAGATCATAAAAAAAATGATAGACAAGCTATATTATGCTAATGATAGACAACATACACAACAACTCAATTCAATTAGTATTGCCAAATACTAATTGAATTGCTATACCAGATTATTTATAGGGCTATATAAATATAGTTTGATAAATAATCCAGCAGATTGTTTGCCAATAGTAATTGATAATAACACTATCAAAACTCTAATCTCTTATCACTAAAACACTACCTCTACCATGGATTCCATCAGACTTGCAATGCAGGCAACTGGGTGTTAAGGGATGGATGGGCCTTTAAATACCTATGAAAACTTGAGGCTCAAGCTGCTCATGTCCTTGGAGTGGCAAGCTGTTTCAACTGCTCAGCAATCTTCTAATTAATATCAATATAACAGTTTTGTCTCCCACAGAACAAATAAGCTATTATTATAATTATAATAAGAATAATTATATTTGCTGCTTGATGATAAAATTTTAAAGTAAATATTTAATGTCTGTCAAATTTTTTCTTTTGATGAATAAAATACAAAACTTCTGGGTCTTCTTTTATAGTCAAAATTTTATTATTTAATGTTGTCAAACTCACAAACATTACAGTTCATCTTTTGACTGCCATTAATCAGAATTCATTACAAATTTTTAACAATCGATGACAACAAATATTCCGTTTAAAAAGTTCAATGGAAAACATAGACTGTATCTTTTTATAAATGTATAAAAAGTAACGATTCCAACATCCATCTTAATTATAGGCAAGATATTTTACATTCCATATATAACGCCATTGTTAAATTTAAGCTTAGTATCAATTCTCTTTTATATTGCATAAATGTAAAGAAATACCAGTAACTGATATTTGAATAGACTACAGTACTCTGATAAAATAACTTGTAAAAATACTAAAAATCATTTAAAAATTTTTCCATTAGATAACACAACATATTTTGGAAATTAATGTGATAATTTCTTCAATTTAAGATGATATTATTATTAAAATTTAAAAGAGTTAATGAAAAATATTCAGGGGGAAGGTATATTAATACCATTTAAAAGCCAATGCACATGTACAACAAAATTAACAACGAGTGTTAGTAACTGGTTCAACTGATCACCTCTTGACTATCGAGGTCAAGAGCAACCATTAATGGAAACTGTCACGAGTCTTGATTGTCGTGGCAATTTTGCCATCCAAATGCATTGGCTTTAAGAAGTAAACTAAAGCAATTAATAGATATTATATTTTAAAATATAATCAAACTATAATGTGTACGAGCTACTTTGCTTTTGAATTTGACAATTCCATTTTGGCAAAATGTAAAACAATTTAAGAGAAGCTTTTAAGTTTTATCAGTTAAATTATGATCAAATCTAAAAGAGAGAATTATAAAAACTTTTTTTAATTCTTTCTTCTAATGTTTGATTATAATATAATGATGAGTAGGCAAAAGTACTTTATTATAATAAAAAATTTAATGTTAAAATTGCAAAATCATAGTTACTAAAATACTAAAACTGATGACGTATGCTTCTATATTTTAAGCTACATAAAATATATACATTTATAATCCATCATCATGTCCAGTTATCTTTCTCAATGAGATATTTTAACTATTCAGATATAGGTGATACATTAAATATATTATATACATTCTAAAATACTTATTTACTTTATCAAGAACTATCCAAATATGATCCAAAATGCATGTTTAAGACAAATATGTATGCTTAAATGTAATTTATACTTAAAAATCCATTAGTCCATAAATTTTATTGCTTAATTATCAATAATGCTTATTGAGCAGTTATTTGATGTTGGTAATAAATTAAATGATTTATAATATGAAAATTATACCATACATAAAAACAAATAATTTAAAGATTTTATTCCATTTGCACATTTTCAATGGCAAGTTTTTATCAATGGTTGGTTAAAATGATTTCTTGAGAGACACAGATCAAAACAACAATTCAATGTTTCGGTAATTAATTATGATTCTAAGAAAAACAAGTTTGTACTGAAAATTTGTTGTAATTTGAACTTGCTAGAGACTACAGTAAGATATTATTTTTTGATCCAAATAAAAATATAATCATATTTCTATTTATTGCCACCATTTGTTTGCCTCTGAAATTGTCAATAAATGGAGTGTGGTGCTAAACTGAAGTATCTCAAACAATTACAATAATTAAGTAATAAGATCTACATATAAGTTTGAGAACTTGAAAATCACATGATTTGGTAATAATGTCATTTTCAATAAACAGTATGCATTTAGTAATCTGTGGATGCTGAAAGATTAACACTTTTGGGAAAACTCCATTTAAAACATTCATTAGTGCTCTACAAAGGTGATGCTAAATCAAGGTTTATGCTCCTTAAATTAAAGCTGTTCTTAGAAAACAAGAAAAAATTTCCAAAATCAGATCTCATTCTCCAAAATTTTTAAGAATCAAAAATCTATTGTGTCAACATTTTGAAATGTAGCATTAATTTGATTTTTGGCCACATTCCAAAATGTCAACATACTTTGATTCATTCAATTTTTAAAAATTCTTCTTGTTTTAGATAAATGACATGAGAATAAAATTCAGTGTTAATGAAGTTTCTTCTCTTAAACAAAATAATAATTTATCTTGCCATCTTTAATTTAGGGAGTATTTCATTGAATTTATTGTAAGGAGTTAAAAAAAAAGTCTCAATATCTTAGTTGTAAGCATTGCGACAAACTGGTTGATATTGGTGTATTTTCCATAGTTTTTTCTATAAAAAATAAGTTCAAATGAAATAAAACTTTCTCTATTTCTAAAATTAACATTTACATAACTTTAAAATGTACAAATGGAATTAAACTTTCATTTTTTTCTTTTCAAAAACAAATTATGAAAGAATTTTGTTAAATCCATCAATGTCCTTTTTCTAATTTTTATATTTTATTCAAATTCCTTATTTACAGGATATTATTCAAATAATAAAATTAAATGATTAAATTGGTATTTATTAATATAAACTCTGAAATGTATATTTCTTTTTTTATATAGGTGTGGATTTCAGAATGAAGATTATTCATATAATTACCAATTTCATCAAAAATTAAAATCTGATTTTGAAAACACCTTTTGACAGAGTTATATCCAGTCCTTAAATAGTCTGGATATAACTCTTTTTGGATAAAAAAATTAATTAAAATTGTATAGAGTTAAGTATAAAAAACGTAACTATTAAAATTTTCATATATTAGCCTTTTTTACAATATTAGAAATATTAAAAAGTTGGAACTATAAAAATTATGATTAAAATGTAGGAAAGTGTAAGATTTGGTTGATATTTTAGGAAACCGAAGTAATCTCGTAAAATATCATCAAAATATTATCTTAATTACAACTAATTAAGAAAATGTTTGCCTATATTAAGCTAATAATCATAAGATAAAAGCACATTATTTATTGCAGTTATTTGCTTTTATTGATGCGCCTTATTCATAAACTATTAAATTTTGTTTAAGAATAACGATTTTAAAATTGAAATTTGACCCATAGGCTATATACCTTTTATAACGTTAAAACTTCCCTCCCCTATTTTCTGAATTTTTCTTCTATTTTGTCGTGGGTTTTTTCTATCTTTTCTTTATCCCCTGTTCCATTCTCTATCCTTCCTTTGATTTTCCGTGTTCAGTATCCATTTATTATTTTCTCTCCCATTCTCTTTATCCCACNTGTACATGATAAATTCCTGTTAAGCTGTGTGGAGAAGATTAGAAAGTTACAAAAACATCTAATTTTTTTTTGTTTCACATATATAATGAAATTCGTTTTCTCTCCCTCTCATATATATGTACAGTACATACATATATGCACCTGTTCAAAAACTACAAGCAACTTACAGAAGTCTTAAAGTCATTATAGAATTAATTTAGTTTGATTGGATCTGTTAAATTTACTGCTTTTTCACTTTTAAACAATATCATCTATAGTTTTCAAATAACTTGCATTGTTTCCTACAAAACATACAAGGATGATATTTACATAAAATGTTTTCATCACAAAACAAAGAGATTGAATTGGCATGGGTGGATGTGACATGATACAAGTTGATGAGAATTCAAACTTGTGTTCCCATGACAGTTGTCACCATCGGCCTTGCCCATTCAACAAAATCATCAATGAGGACGGGCCATGCACCTAAATGATAATTTGTGTTTGGAATTAGTTTCTTGGTTAATAATAATAATAAATAATATAAAGTTTCTTGTGTAATGTTTTAATTTTTATGGAAAGTTACCTTCTTTATCGTAATTACTTAAATCATCAGCGATGACGGCACTAAAATCCAGCAAGAGATTCCATGTGTCTCTTGGTATAGATCGCTTGTGATGCTCCTAAAAATATATTTATTTATTTATATATTTAAAAATAATAATTATATAAATAATTATGTATATACATGTATTTATTTCAATCCTCATATTTTAAATTTATTAAATAAAAGAAATAACTTATTTACAATTTAAAAAGTTTGTAAGATTAATATAAGAGAATAAGATAATAGAATGCAAATAAATTTACATATAATCTTTACATTAAAGAAGGGAAAAAAAGTGGGATGTGGCTGTGTTAGGGACACGGCCATGTGTCTTATGTAAATACATGTACATTAATGGGTAATATTTTCTTTGAACATATTATATGTACGTCATAATCATTCCTTAACAGTAAGAAGTCCGCCATGTTTTTTTTACATATCCGGCACTGTTTCCCTCTATCATATGGTGTTTTATGGGTATCACTGGATTGCTCTTGAGAAGCCCTTTCCAACCGTATATGATTTCTATATTTTGATTTGGCTTTTTGACACGTATAGGCTGACATTGTATTAAGTTTTCTTAATTTTTAACTTTAACACCATATATATTCACCTTAACCATTCCACAATACAGTCGATCCCCCTATAAGATCACTGATTTTTCCGTTTTATCTGAATTACATGTTGTACGAGTAACTTAGATTTTACAAATACGTGTGCCGGGCTGTGAACGGCTCACATATTTGTAAAATCTAAGTGACTTGTACAACATGTAATTCAGATAAAACGGAAAAATCAATGATCTTATAGGGGGATCGACTGTAACGTTTTGTGTATGCAATCAATAAATATTGACGAGAACTGTAAATTGAAACAGAAATAAGCGTTGTAGCTGCTCCAAGTCAAAATGTATACTAAACAAAGTATGTGACGTGACAAAACGACCTCAAAATGGCGGCTTTTCCCCCTCTGCCGCACGCAATGTGTCACAGTCCCCACTCGACATAATGAATTCTTTGATCCTTTAATTATCAAGTGGTGTAATTAAATTTTGGATGTAGATGATAGATATGTAACTGTATCCCACGATTTTGTTATCAATTTTCTGAATTGCCTCCCAAAAATTCCCTGCCAAATTTAAAGACATAGTCACATCAAAAAACAAAAACTTGTTAAACATTTAGTTAGTTCACTTAATATATAATTACTATCATACAATTATATTCTCTGTTTTATTCTGAACATTTCTGTAATACATTATAAATTTATCTGTGAATTTTAAACAATTTAGTTTAATAACTAATGTTTACAACATTAACCTTTCCCCAAAATAGTGATAAAACTAACTTTGAAAAATTTAAATTTATGCAAATTACACTCCCCTCCAAAAAATAAGCATGACATGCAAATATGAAAACATGAGTAAAATACACATTGACTCTGTTCAAAATACATAAATTTTCCTAATGGTAACAACAGGTGTTTCGTTCTGTGCTTTGATATTTCAACTACAAATGTGACAGTGAAATTTCAAAATACCACTTTCTGCACCATGTCCCAAAGAAGACGTTTAGGTGATGGTCAAAGATGGTAAGCCATGGGAAGGTTAGAATCCTGTCAATCTACTGGAGAAGTTGCTCAATTCACCAGTGTCCATCATTCTGTGATTTCACACCTGTAGACCCAACTCCAAATCACCAGAACGCTAAGCAGAAGGCCAGGCTCTGGTCACCCTCGAGTTACATCTTCCAATGATGCTACTTAATTGGTCAGACACAATAGGTAGACAACAGCATCTATTTTATGTTCAAGCCTTATTACAGCTAAAGGGATGTCTGTATTCATGACTACTGTAAAAAGGAGATTGCACATTTGGCTTTTATGCATGAAAACCAAACATTTGTGTTCCATTGTCTGCTAGGTTACAGAACAGCCCATTTACAATGTTGTCAGGAACTTGTCACTTGGACTATAGACAATTGGAGCAATGTCCTTTTCACCAATGAGTCATGATTCACTTTGCAGTCAGACAATTGAATTTTTATGGGAAAAGCGACTATTACATGGTATCAACTGATTAACATCATTCAGCAGTATTATTTTCCTAGTGGTGGCATCCTTATATGAGCCAGGATTTCCTTAAGTCGTGGTCACACCTTGCGACTTTTATTCATTGCAGAAAAGGAACTGTTTGCCATTCTAATAAGAAAAGTGGCAAAAATTCTGTAAATACTCTGAAGTAGAACAGAAATCACTGGTAAACTCACGAAAGTAGTCAAAAAGAAGCTACTGTAATTTTATTGGTTTATTATAGGGTCAAGTATTTCCAAGTTTCAATGCCAGTGAACAATGTGTGACCATGAGAAGATGAGTGCTACTCGAAATCGCATGGTATGACAATGGCTTCAGACAGACATACTGATCTCCATGTCTTCTACAGAGGCACTATGATGGGTCAAAGATATCAGAACAAAATTCTTTATCCATACATTCAATCTTACATGGGTGCAATTGGTTCTGAATTGTTCTTACAGACAACAATGCCAAGCAACAAAGAGCTTGTATAGTACTCCATTACCTAACGGCAGAGGGAATCCAGCAAATGCAGTGGCCAGCATATACACCAGATCTGAACCCTATAGAGTATGTATGGTATGCTCTCAGGAGAGCTGTGGTTTTCCACCAAACATTACCCAAGAGCTCCAATTGTTCTTATGTAACAGTGGGGATTAATGCTTTCCAATCTCATTGATCATCTGATAACTGGCATGAATCATAGTTGTGTAATCTGCATTAGTTTATAAGAAAATTATATTCCATATTGACAAATATTTCTCATTCACAAGTATGACCTGTTATTTTGTTCACTTTGTTAATTTTGCTGAATATTACCCTATACATTCAAAACTTTTTGTATGCTAATAAAAGGCAGAGTTTTATTCTATGTTACTGTAAAACTTGAAATAAATTGCGGCAGTAATTTCTGATTTTCATTTTTATGTGTTTAATTTTTGGAGGAAAGCATAGTATGTCAAAAATAAAAATAAATAAGCACAATGAATTATCATCATTAAGTAATATCATACTAAAATAATATTTTTGTAAATTGTTTACTCTACACTTTTCCAATAGCCAGCAATTTAAATATCCAGAACCTTCAGTGATGATTATCAATCTTTACATATTACCATTAAGCAGAGACCAGGAATAAGCATATAAATGCAACAAAATAATGAAGATCAAAATGTATCCAATACTTCAAAAATAAATGAATATTTGTCTGCTAGGTTACAGAACAGCCCATTTACAATGTTGTCAGGAACCTGTCACTTGGACTATAGACAATTGGACAATCATACAAAACTCTCATTTATTTTTATTTTTTATATGACTATTGTTTAGCCAAAAGTAGCTGCTTTATATACCATAAAATTCAATTCTAAATCCATGAATTCAAATTTTATCAATTAGTTCTGCATATAAACTCTTAAAATGATATTCATCAGTATAAATCAATATTATCTGATCTTGTCCCAAAATTCTACTAATTAGAGGATATATCATTTTACAGTTATTCTAAGAAAATCTATGCAATTTATCAAATTAAACTAAAAAACCACATTTTATATATCTCATTTTAAAGTAATATTTAATATTAAACAGAGATTCTAAATTGAAATTTACTTATGTAATGAAAATTTTTCATTTGAATTATCTTTACCATTAATATTTTTGTTTAAAATACATAAAAAAAATCTTTTTAAATTAATGAAACTAAATAAACTTTAATGACTTTCTATAATTAAATTTTACATGTAAAAATGGGAGGAATGCATCATTAATATCAAAATTAAATTTTTTTAAAATGTACTTATTCCAAATTAATTCCATCAACTATCATTATTTTAACAGAATATATTAAATAATGACAACTTTAAATAAGTAATATAATAAATATTTTTGATAAATTGAAGTTATTTATAAAAAACATTTTATAAGAAACTTCAATCTTTAGAAACAGTGCAAACATATTTAATTAAACTTTAACATTTTCAATTTTGTGTTTAGATTTAGTAAAACTATGATTATGATCTTTAATCACAATGTTATTAATGTTAATTACAAATGCTTTTTACAAATTTAATTTTTTTTTTTTATATTTCAAATTTCAGTTAATAATAATAATAAAAAATCTTTAACTTACTTGTAAAAACTGACACCATATGTTGAGAAACTTAAATCTTCCTGCCAAAACTATATTCCAATATGCTATTGCCATATCCAGTTCTATTAAATAAGTACTAATTATAATTTATATTTTGTAAATTAATGCAAGAAAACATTAATCTAGCTCTAAAAATCTGATTTGATTAAATTAAATTGCCAAAAATGTTTCTCTCAAATAATAGTTTTTTAACATAGAATTTAGTTTAATTAAACTTGTTTGGTTTATAGAGGAGGGTATCAAATGAAAAATTGTTTGGGATATTTTGAAAGTGTTTTGGAAATATTTATAATTCAGTTGCATTTAATTTGTTCTTGGAAAGGGAAAGCCACAGTCGTAAAGCTTAATCGATTTGTCGAAACAAGTTAAAAAGATAATTTCGAGTTTTATTTGACAGATGTTGGAATTCGTTTTTATTAAATTACTAATAATAAATCAGATGAAGAGCTTGAAAATGTGAAAGAAAAATTAATTATATGTTAACTTCTTGAAAGATTTGATAGTTTACTTTGGAACTATTCATAATGAATAGCTTAAAATAAACTATTTGCCGAGAGAAAAATTATAAGATATAATTAACTGACAATATCGGTCTGATTTATTGATTTAAACATTGAAAAACTACCATTTAAAGAAATAAGTTCATTTTTCAGAAGATTTTGGTTTTCTTAAATATATATAATTTTTATTTTCTAAAAATTGATTATTTTATTTCCATTTAAGTTGTTCAAAATAAAACTCTTACCAGTAAATTTATTAAATCAATGAAATCACATCATTTATTTAAGCTTTTATAAGAATTTTTAACACATACTTTCATTAAAATAAGGGANACACACACACACATATAACACACACAACAAAAAGACAGCCACGGAGACGTGACGTCAGAAAAAAATTCACTCTCCTCGATCGTTAGAAACATATGCCAGGCACAAATTTTTTTAAATTTTTAGAATATTAACATTACCCGATCGGAAATTGTTTTAAAAAATTCCGTAAGGGGGCGAATTTTTAAACTAAGAATTATGCCCCCTAATGGAACTTTTTAACTAATTTTTTTTTTAGTTATTCTTACAAAATATTCACTTTTTAATAATAATAATAATTATTATTATTTAAATGTAAAAATAAAATAATTTAATCAGTTATTGTTAATTTATTAAGTTATTTCACTTGAATTACATTTTGAAAGATAAATCAGATGGTTATGCATATTACGTCATTAGCATTTTACATTTTCATTATGTACAGTACATCCATAATTAAATTTTAGTCTTAATTTAATACACAAACAACAATTAAAAATATTTAAAGTATAAACTAAAATATAATAAGTAATAATAAATTGGTTTCATTTAATAATAACATCGAAATTAAATCACTATTTTGGAAAAAAAACCATTATAAAAAGCGACACTCATCGGACTTTTTTCTTTTCAGTTTAGTACTGACGTCATATCGATCATCGTCTGCTTATTTGAATTTATTTAAAAGAAACAAAAATCAAAATATTATATCAAATTTATTATTCTTATTTAATTTACGTAAATTAAGACTGTAATTATAATAATAATAATAAAAATTTAAAATACTTGGTTTGTAACAAATATCTAATTAAAGAGATTTACAGGTTTTCTGGCATGACTACTTGATAGTGTGAATTAAGTTTTGATTTTAACGCAAGTTAAAATTAAATGCTTTTTAAACAATCAATTTTTTGTTGTGACATTGTCGCAATACCGAGCTGTAATTTTTAACCATAGTTTTAATTAATTTAATTTAAAATATATGCTCTCCACCTCAAATTAGTAGTGACTTGTCCCTGTACATCACACTTTTCCTTTAACAATAAAGTCATGCCAGTCATTTAACACCTTAAAAGGGAAATTTTTGAACTGAATTAACATGACTTCTGGTTTGCATTGGAAGTTCATATATAGTTAATCAGGGTCTCCTGCCCTAAGGTTTCCATATCTGGTCTTGTCTTTCATCCATCTATTCACTGTTCTCAAGATTAAGGCTGCGTACACAATATGCGTTTTTAAATGCGCGTTTGTACGCATTAGGCGTTTTCTGCTGCGTTAAACGCGCGTTAGTTCGACGTTAGCACTGGCTCAGTTTGGAAATGGACGTGAAAGTAATTGCTTGCATGTGCCTCCTCCATCGTTGCTATAAAAGATGATGGCAGAGGCAAAGAAAATTTTGGGTGCACCCAATATTACGAGATAGACTGACACATGGAATGTTTGTGACGTTGTATCCAAAACTAAGACAAAATATACCCAAGTTTTTAAATTCTTTTAAAATATCTATAAAATCCTTTGACAATGGTTAGTCTTTTTTAGATTTCATCAATAAATAGATCAGTATCGAAACGATCGTTCTCCATTTCAGCCAACGTACGTCCACTCTACCTGAAAGCGCGCGATTGAATGTACAGTAACATGGCAGCATATATATATATCTCAAAGTGCTCGGCTGACGCCCGCAAAACGCGCGTTTTAAGAAAAATCTATAAACGCGTGTTTAAAAACGCCTAGTGTGTACGCAGCCTAAGGAAAGACAGATGAACAGATGACAGTGGGAATTCATTGGTCTACAATTTTTTCAAATTGCAGCCCAAGAACAAAAAATTTATCATACTTAGACATGTTATAATAATAATTTCATCTGGTTTATTGTCTAGCTAACTTAAAAGAGTCATCATAAGTTATTATTTAGAAAAACTTAAATTCATAGTCATCATCATAAAGGAATTATTAAGGTAAATTGAAGAGCTTGGTGCAAGAAGCAGTCAAGTAACAAAGTTTTTAAAATGTGCTTTTCCAATTTTTGACCATAAAGCAATGCTTGGTGTGACATGCAATAATAATAATACACAGGGAATTCATTACTATTGCTAGGAGGAAGGTAACTGCTGTATTTTTCTTTAAAGTCATATGTAACAGAAGACTGTTGCTCTGACATGCAAAGCAATATCCCATAATTTTCAATTTTATAAAAATCTGAAGATTGTAAATATGAAATGAAAGTGAATAAAACATACTTTATAGCGAGTTTAAAATGCATGATGTAGTGTAAATTTTGTTATTTTAGCACAACAATGAATTGAATAGTCTTAAATATTTTATTTACAGAATAAATAAAAACTAAAAAGTTTACAAAAACACAAATTATTTTCTAACCTATACATCTTTAAAATAGCATAAACTATTAAATGAGTTAAGCAAAGTGTAAAATGGTTTTTGTGTCTCCTGAAGTTTTATAAAATGTATTTCTTGCTGCACCAAGTCCTTCAATTGAAGTGCTTATTTTCAAAATGTTTGTCCAAAATATTCAAAATTGAGATATCGATTCCTTCAGATTCACAGATGGTTTCTCCTTTTATTTCTGCTTAACTTTGTTTCAAAATGCAGTATAAACTGAAAAATTACTTTCAAATATTAGTTTGCAGTCAAAAACAACTCTTGTCCAAAAGATAGCTGCCATCTTATACAGAAAAACTATTAGTGTAAAATGTTCCTTGTTACATTACATCTTTTTCACTATTTTATTTTTAAATGTTTTTTACACTATAAAGTTAGCTTTCAAAATGTCCCAACTTTAGTATCAAATCATTACAAAATATAACTGATAGAATTAGATAGTAAAACATTTATCATTATATAATAAATTATTATACTTAAATCTAAAAATGTTCAAAGACAAGAGTTGAAAACTGATAATTTATACTAAAATATAAAGGAAAAATTAACAGTGTATATATCAGTATGTCACAACTTAGAGTTATGAACAGTTTAAATTGAAAGGATGAATGCAATAGTGATCTAATCCTATTTTCATAAAAGTTGAAATATTTTACTACAAAATAAAAACTAGCATAGACCAGCTGTAAAGGTGATCTATGATAGATAGTTTTTATTTCACTGTTAAACTATTGTTTCCAATTAATAGGTTACTTAATTGTTAATTTCATTAAGGCTTCATTTATTCAAGTAATTTTTCATTCTATGTAGAATAATCATTCATTTAACACACTAAAGTTCAGTACTGTTAACTCAGTTTTGACATTGAAGAGGGTTAGAAGACTGCTGTACCCATCCTTTCAATTTAAGTCATAAATGTGCCAAGAATGTATCCATTTATTTTAACTCAAATTTCTATCATATTTATAGACTTAAAATGCCAAAGTGATCAGTGAGATTTTTATAAAAATTTTCTTACTCACTCTCAAAGTCAACACACTTGTTTCCTTTTGCAGTTTCTGCAATTCTTTTTTCATTTAAGTCACAAGTTTTGACTCATTTACAAATTTAAATATTGTTTATAATTATAATAAAAAACAGAGTACAACATACATTGTAACTTTTCTTATTGAAAGTGATTCTTTCAAAGTAAATTCTACAGAAATAAAACAGCAATGTATACTTGAATAGTTTTCACTTTGATTGGTATGTTTTTATGTATGTATTGCTTTCAGTATTTATGTATTGATAATATTTTTTTTGAATAAATCAAAATAAATTCTCATTGTGGCAATTTAATATTCCGACAAATTTGTAAATATAAATTTATGATATACAAAATTTTAGCCACAATCAGTAACAATTCTTATAATAAAATTTAATCTTCTCATCAATTTATATACAATTTATTTCTGAATAAAAATGAATAAAAAATACATTATATTTTTTTACTTTAAATTAGTATCTAAAAGTTATATATTATGTAAGTTTTAATCAAAAATTTTATTTAAATATTTATGTTTTTGTCTACTTATTTATTTTATACTTACCCAATTTCTGTCATTCCATTTATGAATTCATCTCTAGTAAATTCACATTGTGTTGCTGCTTTAAATTTCCATGCTATTATCAGCACAAGTCTATTATCTGGTGTTAAATTGAGTTCTTCTAAAAATCTTAAAATACCATCTGCAGTTATTTTATCTGATTCTTGAGGATCTAAAAGATATAAGATAATAATTAAAATTTGTGATAAAATTTTAATAAATTTATTAAAAGAATTATAAACATTTTTATTCCATTTATTGTTCTTCTTCATATTTGCATATTAAAACAATAAAAACACTTTTTTATTTTAAAAAATTATATATATCTAAATACTAGTCTTGTTTTCTGTCTCAACACAGAAGGGGATGATCCTGAATGGAATGAGTGAAGCCAAGAGTCATATACCCTTGGTACAAGCTAGGTCATTCCACTTACAAAGCCAAAGATAGTAAATGAAGACGGAGGAGGACATCATCTGTCTTATTATGTCCAATAAATATTCATGCATGCACAAATTAAACTATCATTATTGACTTGCTTGGATTTTAAATCTTCGATGCTCTGCTTTTTTCAATTACAAACTTTTATTTATTTAATAAAGATAAAACAAAATTCTAAATATTTAAGCATTAAAATTTTTATTTAATGTTTATTATTTCTATTTTGAAGAATTCTTTTATTTGTGAGGTTAGCCAACTAGGTGTGATTATCAGGATCATTGCGTAGCCACGACTGTTGTGTGGGAGTAGAAAAACTCTCAGCTCTCAGAGACACGCTTTCCATCTTTTAACCCGTTTATATTACAAAACAGTTTCTTACAACGTTTTGCAAAGTTTTGACATAACACAGCTCAGGGAGTGAATTAAAAGTCCATACAAGTGTCAGACATTCAGTAGGAAGTTTGTCCTGTCTCTCGTTGACGTACGTTGCAATTGATGGCCCCGAGGCATATGGCACAGCTTCGGGCAAAAGTCTTGGGAGAAAAGGTCAACCTCGGGCAAGTATGGATGAAACCAGAGGGCAAAATTTATTCCCAGATTGACAGAAAACCTCCCAATGATCTCTGTAAAGCACCAATTCACAGGGCAAATGAACTACGACCCAAGAACGTTACATCCTTGATCTGCGCGGTTTTATAAGTTTTTTGGGTCAAACATTCCGACAGGTTGATGCCGACTCACCTCTATTCTCCAATTGGTCCCCTCTCGTTACAAAATGTAATAAGATCGGAACCCAGATCATGGGATGAGTCAACAGTGACTGACAGTGCAATCCCTATCAAGATGTTTGATCTTAGAACTCACACAATTCTTTGTTTAAATTGGAGAAGTACATCTTTCTCAGAATTTTCTACAGATATGTCCTTTTATGGACATGAAATTTTTCTATTTCTCTCTTTCTTTTTTTTGTCTGTTTTTTACAACATATAATTATTATAATTTTTTTTACACAAGAAAATGAAATTAAAATTTTTCTGTATGTGTGATCCCAGCCACTTCAGGAACCTTACATATTTATGACTGGCCTCATTCTTCTCATTTGATGTTACATCCCAACTTTTACACATAGAAGTCAATAAACTGAAATGAACTTGAAATAAAAAACTGCAACTGACAGGTAATATTTTTAGTCAGAATAAGATTCAAATGACTTGAAAAAAATGTTTTTGAATTATAACCATTAACCAAACACCATTAACAATTTTTAATAGTTTTTTTTTTCATTGTATATATCAGAATAATCTTATTAGAACATTTTTGAAGACTAATTTTAGTGTTTTGCGGGGAATTACACTATTGGTCGATAAGGTAGTAAAACAGATATATTACTTTCTAATGAGAAAAGTTTACAACAATCTCAGCATCATCCTTGCTATAAGAGTATTTTGAAATATCCCACTCACACTGGTTATCTTTGAAGCAATTTTCTGTTCATTATGAAAAAATCTTTTATACAATTATGAGTACATTCAAAAATTTTATTAACAGAAAGTAATTTAATTAAATTGAAAGGCAAATGTTTATTTTATATTGTAACAAAGACAATTCCCTAAAACATATTTTGTGTGACTATTTAAAACTGACCAAATTTTGTGGAAAAAAATCTTATACACAATGATAGAATTAAATATGTTATTAAATGAAAAATCCTTCTGGATAATCTAGATTAACGAGATTCTTAAGATCTAGAATCCTTACTAGGCTGGAAGGAAATATATAAAACTACTTTCATATAATCTTCAAAGAAAAATGAAAATTAATAATTATTCTGAAATTTTTTAAGATAATTATTACAATAATGAAAACAATACTATTGCATGCTTCATAGATCATAGGATAAGTCTGAATGAATTCATAATTATTTATTAATTACACTAAGTAAATTTATTAAAATGTTAAATAAATTTTGAATTATAAGTTAGCATATAGTCCCTATTTATAACATTATAAATAAAATATTTTGAAAAATTTGGAAAAAAAAGCTTAATGAATTTTGATAAAACTTAATGATTTCAGATCTATCTAATATTTCTAAATATCATCATTTATTTATTGTACATTGGGAATTACATCCCTATTACAAGGGGTTTGCATTTACATGTTTACTTGTTTTTTACTTTACAATACTTTTTGATTTTAAATTTATTCCATTTCACTAATAATAGCATATTATAATATTCCATTTGTGTTAATTTATTTTGTTTTTGTAAATATCAATTATTTTACAAAAATAGTTATAAATTTTATATAAATCTTTTTTACTCATTTTGTTAAAGTTTTTTAACAATTCTATTAGCAAGTTGCATTTATAAGTTCGAGTTATATCATAGTGTTCACAAATGTCCCTTAATTTTGGACATTTTAATATCAAATGATAAGGTGTTAAGTCGTCGGAGTTACATAAAAAAACATTTTGTTAATAAACTTATATAAGTATTGTTAACATACAGCGAATATTTATTCAAACGAAGTTGTGCTATAAGTCGTTTTACATTCAAATTTACCGAATACAACATATATGACTGAACTGATGGTATTTCAAATATATCCAAGTACCATGTATGATATTTACTAGCAAGTAGGGAGAATTGATCTTTGTTTATGGATTGTGCTATAGCTGAGTTCAAAATTATTGAGTAGCCTGTTTTCCAATCTTGAATATTGTCTTGAAATAGTAGTACTGATACTCCAAGAGTTGAAGATAGTTTCCAATTTATTGTGCCATAGCTGTTTATTTTTTGAAATTTACTTTGCCTGATGTTTTCATGATATAAAGCAATCAAATTGTTATCACTATTGAATTTAAGTCTGTAATAAAATTTAATGATTCGTTTTAATATAAACGGGAATAACCATATATGATTGGTTTCATGACAGTGCATATACGGGTATTGTCCATTCTAACTGAAATAATCTGCATAGACAGTAAATATGAAATAGTTCTAATTTTAAAATCTCCCATTACCAAAGTAAGCGGAGAAATATGACTCCAACTTTCTAATGTTTTAAAACTATTTTTTAAAGTACATAGATCATCAGGTGGAATATAAGCAATTAACAATGTTATTAAATTATTCGTTTTATTTATCAAAGTAGGCTTCTGTAGTGAGATAAGAAGTAGCTTATAATTGTTGAATTTTTTTATGTCAATTATTTTACCAAAATTCTTTTTTATAAGGATACATATACCACCACTTGGCCGACCTGGACCAGTAGGTTTTTGTGCTTGGATCACTTCCACTATAAAATCATTGAAAAATTTTTTGTTATAATACGAGTTCGAAGTAATCCAAGTTTCAGTAATTGCTAAAATATCTGGCTCGTATTTAATGCAGAAGTTATTAATAAGTGATGTTTTATTTTATTTTCCTTGACCATTCCAGTTAGCAATGGAAACCATTTGATTATTCTTTATAGTTCTATTATATTGTATATATTTTTGCTTAACATGATATCAGCTGTCTATATCTATTTGATCACTATAAGGACGAAAATTATCTACATAAACCAATTTGCTCAATTTTAGGCTATATGTTATTTTTTCTTGGTTTATCGTTAATATATCATTATGGAGTTTAACTTGATCTTTTTGTTTCCGCAATTCATAAAATATTAGGAGTAAATTTTTCCTTCTTATCCTTGAATTTTTAGTTAAATCTGGGAATATTTGCATGTTTTCCCATTCTTCTAATACATTTTTTTTTTTGTTGTTTCTTTTGAATAAAAGTATAGAAGAATTTATCACGAATTTGTTTACTACTGAATGTTATTCTTACTGTTGTATTAGGTTTTTTTGTTATTAAGTTTATTTCTAATATCTCAGTTTGAGTTATATCATGAATATTGAGTACATTAGTCATAAAATTGTATATCTCTGACGTAGATATAGATTTCACACTAGGATATGTATATACAATTATTTTTTTATAATTATAATCATTAATTAAAGAATCTATTTTAAATTGCATTAGTTCATTTTCACTTTTTTGATTTTCTAATTGTTGTTTTAAATTTTTAATTTCTTCCTCCATATATATCTGTTTTTCTTTATTCTCATGTATATCTTGACGTATTCTTTCTACTACTTCTTTTATATATACCATTTGTTCTAACAATTTATCGTTTGAAGCATTTATTAAATCTGATATTTTAGTCCATAGGAGTGCAGTTGAGGTGTCAAGTTGATTTGCCGAAGTAATAAAATGACTTGAATTAATATTAGGTGACTCACCTGTTGAATCCAATAAATTCTGCTGACCAGATTCCATATTTTGATTCAAGGATTCTTTTGTTCCTTCTTGTGAATCACTTTTCGATTGTATTCCGTAATCCGTAATGAGTTTAGAACTTGGAGTACTTGATTGAGCTTGTTTATTCTCTGTCCTCGTTCTAGTCAATGGAGGTCTTCCACGCTTAACTGGAGATCTTTGCATATTATTATTTTTTTGAATTATTGCTTTTTCCTTTACCTGAACTTAAATAGTGTTAGTTTAAACTTGCTTACTAATAAATTAATTCAAATTAACTATAATTCACCACTTCAGTGCACTAATGAAAGGTTCACAAAAAAAGTCACTCGCAGCGTCGACGTCCAAACACCAATATTTCTAAATATTTTCCATTGTTAAGGTTCATTTGAATATATTGCATTTAAATTATCTTAATTTGCTG